TGAACATTTATTACCGACAAATGTAATTTGGCAAGATAAGTTGCATAATGCAGGGGTGGAGCAATGGCCGGTATTATCAGCCCCACCCCTCACATACACACATCAAGCTGAGCCAGAGCACATGACATAAGAAGAAAAGAAGATCAAAATGAGAGGGAAGGTTGGCAACAGGAGCCACCCGAAATCCTCGACACCAACAACCTCAAGAAAATGACACCTAGAGCCTGAATAGGTAAGCAGTCAACGCCGTCAAAAGACCTACTCAACCGAGACCACATTGCAGACATCGGTATGTTGCCAACGTCGTTGAACCGCATCACAAAGCCAAGACGAAGCAACTAGTGAACTCACGAAGTAGACGAGTAGATACACCACCTCGACGACTCGGAGCCATGACCCAATAAGGATCACTAACGACTAGATTCTGTTATGCACTATGGGGCAATTGTAGAAAAGTCTCATAGTAAGTAATATATTGTGTTACACAATAATTGCAAAAATAGAAAAAAACATAGCAGTGGTGGGCATAATCTAGGGCCCACCACTGGTACCGCTTGCGTTCTAATTGGCCAATCCAATATCCCACGGATTGATAAGGTGTCTATCATCCAACCATCCACACCCAACATGCACGCACAGATTGTCACCGTCAATCCCTTCTCCTATCTCCCTGTTATCCTTTCCCTTCTCCTCTCTCTCTCCCTCCCTCCCTCTCTCTCTCTCTCCCTCTCTCTCTCTCCCTCTCTCTCTCTTTCTCTCTCTCATCGTTGAACAAGCATGGTGGATCCAGCGGGCATGTCGGGGGATCCGGCGGGGTGGTGGATCTAGCGGGCGCAACGCTCACAATGACGGATCTAGTCGGCTCGTGGCGGTGAAACCAGCAGACGTACGTGTGTGCGGCGGTGGATCCAACGTGCGTGGGGTGGACCACTGCTGCTGCGCCGCCAACTGGCACATCTATTTTTTATTTTATAGAATTATACCAGTGAAGGGTAAATATTTACGCCCGCCATTGGTAGTGTATGCCATCAGTGGTCATTACTAGTGGCGGGCGCTAGGTAATATCTGCCACTGCTAGGTCTTTACCACTGGAATGCCATGTTAGTGGTGGGGGTGGCCCTAAGAGCCTTGCCCGGCACTGCTGGGCTTTTGGTGCACGCCACTGGTAGCCATTCCCGCGGAAGTGTGGCTCGGGAATAGACGAAAGCTATGCTATAGTGGTCTCCGAAGACACTGGAGTAGATGGCGGTGACCAGCTTGACGCGGTGGAGCTCCTAGTGGCA